AATGTGGACAGCAACCGTAGCCTGTGTTCTGCTGTTTGTGTGTTGATTTTAAACCTGATTCAGCAGGAGGGATTTGGAAAACATCTTGTGGCATATCTATATGTGCAGGTCGGGGGTGGGGGAGGAGCACTCTGTGCATTCCTATGCTTAAAATCAAATTACTGTTACTGAAAGAACTTTGACCATGTACGAGACTCAGGGGGAGTGAAATGCAGGTATTTTAAAAGTTTTCTTTCAGAATGGGAAAAAAGAAGGGTCTGTGTTTCTTCTTCTTGGTCAATTTCTGGGCTTCTTGTCTTCTGCTGAGATGCCACAAGCAGTTCTATGTGCAGTGTCTGCAAGTGGCTGAAACAGGGCAGCGATAATTTTTGTTGCATCGTGTGCATTGAATCTGCCTCACTCTGGATGCCTAAACAATACTTAGAAGAACATTTTTCTTTGCAAATGTTTAGCATAACATTCTGGCTTAAAACATACAGTGGCTGCGGCAAAATGAAAGCACTTTTAAGCCTGAAGGCCACACACAGCAGTGGCAGGAAGGGGTGGGCCTTGGTCTCTGAAGGTCTACTTGTCGCAGTGATGGACTTTTCTTCTGTGTGAGCTGCAGTAGAATACCATTGCTCAGGCAGAAGAAAGACATTGGCTATGCTAGAAGAGAAGTCTGAGCATGGCTTGTGCTTTCTGGAATGCCACAGTACCAAGAATTTTTTTAACTGTTAAAAAGGACTAGTATTCAGTAAGAAGCAGTGGGATTTAGGGCAAGAACTGAGACAAGACTTAGTAAATGGTTTGATGTGTTTCACAATGTGTCCCCTTGTGCATTCATGGGGAGAGTGGAAGTGCTGCTATTATTTATTTTAATGAACACTGATTTTCTTGATAGCACTCCTGTAGCTATTTCACATACCTGTCCTCAAAACTCACCTGTTATTCCTGAAGGAAAATGTGACAAGCATAGCTACATTACAAGAAAAATGGATGACAGAAGGATGGGAATTAGGCCAGCAGAATGTTTCCCCATGTGCATTCAAGCATGTTTGTTTTCATGTGTGCATGCCACCCAGCCTATTGAAGCCATCTGCCCAGCTCTAGTGCATGTGCCTATAGAACATTTTCCTCAGCTTCATCTTTAACCTACACCATAAAATCTAAGAGAAGAAAGTAAGCTCTCACTCCAAGTGATGTTTGTGAGGATGTTACGAGCTGGTGGAGAACACAATCACATGGCCTTGACAAGCCAGGTGTGCAGGTGGGTCAGAAGTGATTAAATATCCCGTAATACTGATGTCACATCCCATTTTCTTGGTGAATTCAGAATGAAACTTGTGTATCTCGGAAGTGCACATGAGTCAGACCATGTAGAAAAGGTTTGTTTTAATGATAAACTGTACCGTATGTTGGTGCCTGTAGTGATGCTATGGGTCTGACTTTCACTGCCTCTGGACTGAGCTGACAAGGCAAAAGTAATTCTTGAAACAAACAAACAAAAATCAGACAAAGGAAGAAGATGTCATCAAAGTCTCCTGTTGGTAGGGATTCCCTTGAAATCCTGCCACTGTGGATAGCATATGTTACCTGAAATCTGGCTTTTCTGTGCTGTGTGCATGGTACATGTCTCTACATTTAGGTAGGGAGGCATGGCACAGATTTTCCTGATCCAGAAACATTTTCTACCTCCGTTTTACCTTCACTTGCCTACATGTAAATCCTTACAATGATGGGGAGCTGAGGAAACACCCCACTATTTCCAGGTGTCCATCTTGTTAACCTGGAATTTATTCTTCCAACTACTTGAACCAAAATACATGTTACCACCCAGAAGAAAACATAACACCTTTCAAAGCCTATTAAGTATGGACTGAAATGCTGTCTACTTTTAAATGGATGGGTAACACATCTTTATCTGCAGCTTGTTGCAGAGACTGGAGATCCTTTTACACATTCCTCATTTTGAAGGTATAGAACAGAGATGCCAAACTGTGCTTACTTTTACCGCATTGCTCCAAGACTTCTGTGCTGAGGGTCCAAGCCCTGCTGGATCAACTGAATGCATGTGGGCAGTACACCTTGGAATCAAAAGCCATACACAACCTTATGGGAAAGGTACAAGATCTTCCTGTTTCTGACATCAGATGACAAGAAAGGCAGAAGTTACAGCACTGTAGAATGAATGAAAAGCCACAAGGCGTTATTACTGGTCAATGTAATAGGAGCAACTGAGGGTGGCAGGGACTGCTGTGGGAAGTAAGAATTTCCTTAGTTTCAGATTATAAAAACCCCATAAAACAGCACTGTTTTTTAAGTAATGCTGCACTGCATTAATGTCTTCCCATTTATAGCCTCTGTCTCAACTAAGTCTTGTAACCAAGTCCCCACTTTCCCCCCCAAAATATTCCCTAGAGAATTGTCCAATTCTGCTTTAAATAACTCAAGCAACAGTGCTTCCATCATTTACCTTTGGAGATGATTACTTGGTCTAATAGTAATAATTGTGAGAATTCTGTAGGGTTTGTTTCATGATGATGTTTGCAGACTGAATTCTGCAATTCTGTTTGTAAGGGGTTGGCCACAGATTAAAGCATTCAGTGTTTTCCTGAGATTTGAATGCACCAATTCATGTGCCTCACAGCTTATTTCTAATGGGAATTTAGGTACTTAAATAGCCTTAATAGCCTGTCCCTAACTGAATGTTCACGACTAGCAAGCCCTTCCTCTACTAGCTTGCCCTGGTACAGTACTGTGTGGGATTGCCCTACTTGCCCAACAGCCTCAGTCTTTTTTTTTTTTTTTTTTTTTGCAGATGACTGGCAGCATACATTACACTTATTATTTATGTCCTGAGGAACTCTGACTCTAATGCACTCTGGGGTAAAGAGTGCATAAGCAGAAGATTTTTTTTCTTTCTTTTTTTTTTTTTTTGTAGCTCTGTTTCTTTCTTTGAGGTTGTACGAGCAGGAGTCAGACTCATATTGAGTATTATGGTGGTAAACACTAATGGCTGGGCCTCCTAGTCAGATATTGTGTTCTTCAGAAGAGGTGCTAAATGGACATCTCTTTACTTTGTAGTAATGGTGGTTGTTTCAACCAGTGATTCCATGCTTTTTGGACAATGGTCCACTGTCAATCCTAAAATAGCACACAGACCACCTGCATTCCTTGCAGGTAAGTGTCTGTACACAGGCTTTTCATTGAAAACACCAACTTGCTGATACAATCCAATCAGCAGGCAAAATGTCAGCAACCACAGTCTCTCTTCTCAATCTGCAGCTGAGAAACAAAAGAGCCAGAATTACAGACAGAATTTTTCTGGTTTAAAACCAAAAGAGTTTAGGATGTCTCTTCTACTAAGGCCAAAATTCATTTTCAGTCAAATAGGATTTTCTTTCATCCCAATGAGCAAGATTTGGGATGCTCAGAAGAATGAAGCTCTGTAATCGATTTTAGGAAAAGGCTTACTTAGGTAGCAAAGGTAACACAAGTTGCCTGTAACTCAACAGGATGGCTCCCTCCCACTGAAGCTGCAGTTCTTTGAGTTTCATGACAGAGTTCATGAAAAAGTAGAGACTTCTAATTGAGCCCAAACTGAGAAACAGATGAGTTCTGGCCAAGGGCCAGGGTTTTCAGAATTGTTGATCAAAGATAAGTTTTATCACAGTTGGTCTTTAAAAAATACTGACATATCAGACAAAAAATGAGCTAAAACAGATGGAATTTGAGTCCTTACAATTTAAGCTGAGCTGGCTTTTTCTTTCTTCTTCCCATTTTTTTTCTTTTTGCCCTGTGATCAAAAACATAAAAAGATGGAGGTAATACAGGTGTAAAATTTATTATAACTACCAAACTCTTGAGGGTCTTTAGAGAGCAAAGTACATACAAAACCTGCATTTGACCTTAACTGTTACTCATTCTTGTAGTGGTCGGGAATGATTAAGTAATTTTTAATGTAGTGGAAACTGGGTTCATGCTCCAATTCTCTTAAACCTCTTTAAAAGACAAACTGCTCTAATTACTATAATAAATGTAGTAACCTATAGAAAAGTGCAACACACAACCAAACACGCTACTCACAAAACCACCCAAGTTCTGCTCTGGGCATGCATTCGGGGATTGTCACTGGCTTAAGCATCATAGTGAGTGTGGCAGCTATTAGGAGAGCAGAAAGAATATGTGGGAAAATTTAGACATTGCTGTTAACTACATCAGGCTTTTGGCCCAGTCAATTTTTGGCATTTCTTTTTCCATTCATATTGAATTGTAGAGTCACAGATTAGAGCCATGAACAGATTTAGGTCAGAAGGGACCTCTGGAGGAGGTTTGTCCCAACCCCCTGCTCCAAGCAGACCTAACTTCCAAGTGAGATCGGGCTTCTCAGGGCCTTTCCAGTCGCATTTTGAATGTCTTCAAGGACAGACAGATCGCACAGTCTTTCTGTGTAGCCACATTCATAACCACTCTCACTGTGGAATATATTCCAATTACGTGCAATCAGAATTTTTGCAATCCTACTTATCACTTTCTCCTTAAATCCCTCTCTCATTTTTTGAAAAATGTAGTCAACTTCAACCTTCTCAAGATACTATTCTTTATATAAGAGGGATGTTAATCCAACAAGGAGAGAAGCAGAATGCCAACTGACATATATAACCACTCACACAATCTGGGGTTTGAATTCTAAATGGCAAAAGCCCTGTGGAACACTCATTATGAATACTGCTGGAAAATACTTAAACCCAAATATATTAATAAAAGCAATCAGTAAAACAATTACAAAGAGCATACAAGCTCAGAAAAAAAAAAATCTTACTCCATGGGTGGGGAATTTGTGAAGGAGAAAAGAAAAGGCCCCAGCAGAGGAGTCCATTGTTTGCAGCCTGTTCGGATTAGGAATGAGCACATTGCAGTCAGTGGGAGCCACATACAGGTTTTAGAAGGAATCGATTTGACTCTGGAAAAAAGACTTTATACTGAAAATTTTGGATTTTTAATTTTTATTTGGTTATTTATTTGTGATTAGACTTTAAATCTTCAAAGAATCAACTCTTTCTTTAGTCATCTATTTCTGCAGTAGCTGTGCTAGGCTACATTCCTTTTTTCTATGGCACTTTCAGAAATATGTCGCTTGCACTGGCACAAGGAAAAGAAGGAGGTTCTGGCAAATGAAGTGGCAAATTAAGAGGTGGCATCTTGCAAGAGGAATTGTAGAAGGACAAAGTGATCTGTTAGATGGTTGACTGCAGAATAAAAGTTACGTAAATGACATACTGAAAAAAAGTCCATGGATTCACTGCCAAAACCAAGAGAGATGAGAGTGTGAAATTTTATCCATTTCTGTTTCACCTGGTAGAAAAAAAAATATCCTTTTTCAGTGCAGGAATTGTGAAACATGATAAACAAAATGAATTTGAAAAGTATGGTAAAATACACAGGCCTGACTAGCATTGTAGTTTAAATCACCTCTTTTTTTCCATTGTAACTTAACTCAAATTCTGATGTGCTTTTTTTCAAAATTCGTTATGTCAACATAAGTAGATGCAGCTTATCATTGCTTGGATGGTTGTTATTTTTTAGCTGTTTAATTCATTGACTCACATCCGGCAATAATTCATGCAAAATGGGCTCTGAACTGCTTTGCAATATGCAGATTTGTGTGCAAATGAGCGTTACCTATGGTGTTCACACTGAAGCGTTTTTCTTTGATGTACATTTCTGACATTCTGAGATTGTAAAGAAGAAAATAACTTTAAAAATTTTAAGAAACCTTAATTGAAGTTAACATAAAAGAAGATACATGGTGTTAATTGGTCTGTTTCAGGCATAATTTGTGCCTTTGAGACCATGTCCCTTACCCCCCGCCAAAGTGTCAAGACTCACATCTTTAATTCAACAATCTTTGTATTAATTACCTCTGGATAAGGTAAGCTTTGATTGGGAGTCCTTTATTGTAAAATTACAGTACATTGCCTGCTTTAAGATAAATAAATTAGGGTTGAACTTGAAAAAAATCTCCATCCAACTGTGAATGGGAAAGTGCATTTGAGTATCAAATGCTAGATGAAAGAACAGTTTTTATCAGATGGCCTTACGAGGGGAAAATGTTTTCTTTTTGTTCCTCTTTTTTTCATTGTTTTTGCACACTGAAAAATTAGGTCTTCATCAAGAGATGGACACTCAGTTTCTAGAGTTGCCAACACTTCCCTCCCAAAAGATCCCTTTCTGCCTCATGGGATCTCAGCATTCTCCCCTGTAAATAATTCCGCAGTATCGTTTGTCACAAAGTAATCAGTAACTTACGGATGGCTTTCCCCCCTGGCCCTCATTCCCACTCCTTAGTTGCATGTAGTTGATTGTCCATTAAGACCAAACTTGATTTTGTTTTCTGGGATGGAAGGACTGCAGAAGGTTTTATATGATCTCCATGTCACCTGGATGTGTTTGTTACAAGTTCTGAGTGGGACAAAAGCAGCCACACGGACAGGAAAGCTGTAAGAGATAGAGGCAGAATAAACGCAGCTTGTCTACTCATCCCAGAGGAAAACTAACCGTTCCTGGCCTTGCTGTAATGGAACTGCAGAGCTAAATTTGGATGTTGGGCTTGGGTGCTCTGCAGATGGTATGCTTTTTGTATGGATTATGCTGACCGCAGTATGATGCCTACACATATGCTTCCAATGCAACTAAGTGGTTTGAACAGCTATCGGAGAATGTTGACAGAGCTTTAAAGCCTGTAGGCTCAGTTCTGACCTGAGAGATGCTGGTGTGACTCCTTTGATTCTGTAGGATGTGCTGCGTGCCTTGTGTACCTTTCAAGATTGATGCACATTGTTCCATGAGAGCTCATCTGAGGCAAGCAAAGACTGCTAGCGAAAAACTAGGTGTACCTGCTCAAAGGTGTTAAGGACAAAGTTTCAGAGCTGACACCTGAGTGATTCCAGCTCTACTGTCTACTCTTCTAAAGATTTTCAGCATATACAAAAGACCTGAAGACCTGAAGATATGTCTAGTTTTTAGCATAATTCTGAGCCTAGTCTTTCTCTTCCCTGCTGGGACAGCTTGGTCAGTGCAGACCTCCCACATTTGCCCAGTTAGCACAGAAGGTGTGCCAGTGATAAAGGGGTGCTGGAGGCTTCAGTTTTTCCACTGAGCTATCAACTGCCTCAGTAAGTCAGGTTTTCCTCTGTCTTTGCAGTGGGGGACGTGTATAGTAACTACAGCTTTGGCTCTTTATTTGCATTGAAATCAGCTGAAGTGAAAGATAAGCAGCAGGAAAAAGGCCAAAAGACCTTTTATTTTATTAAAAACCCTAGAAATACTGGCACAGCAAGACACAGAGCACCTATTCAACCCTCCCCTACTCTGGGCGGGAAATGGTACCAACAATGTCAGAAAACCACTGTGGCATCTTGACCCAAGAACTGGTTGTATACTACTCTTTCTCATTGTACTAGACCACTGTGATTTTTGTCCTGCTACATTTTCCCACCTCCTAAAGGCTAGCTTGTCAAGAAGCCTTTTGTCTGGCACAGTATTTTCAAATCCAAACTCTGATAATTATCTGTGGTTCTGCTGCTGACTTGAAAGGCAATTGCTAGGCATTGAATCCACATTCCCTTCAGTACTAAAATTAAGAGTAAGAAGCAGAGGCATTTCTGTGACTGCTTCTCTCTCCAGCACTTGACACCAAATGCACATGTAAGGCTGACCATCAAAGATAAATGAGTTCAATAGAAAAGAGGAGACACATACTTGGATCTTGGTGAAATACAGTACAAATCACTAGAAAGTGCAACACAAAGGCTTTGCATGGCAGACTGCTAATCAGAAGAGGTGAGTATTTTAGCATATTTAAATGAGGACAGGGCATCCACTAATCAAATAACAGATTCCAGAGGTACTGAAAGAGCAAGGGAAAGAATGTTGCTTAAAACTTTTCAGCATGGATGGAGGATTTTTAAATATGATGATCTAGGTTTATAGGGAGATAATGAGGTAAGTAACAAATATGTCAAAACCAAACTATCAAATACTGTAATTATGCTGGATACAGATTAGTTGCTGAAAAAGTTTCCTATTACTGCACTACAGCTGTCAGAAAAGTGTAGTCAAATAATAATGGATTTTCTTTTGATTTGCTTTATTTAGCAGAAGGTAATATGTGTTAAATTTCTCACAGCTTTCATGGGATGAATAAAAATTGCATCATGAACCTGCTAGGATTCTTCAATGTAAGTTGATACGAAATACACAGAAGTGATAAAAATAATTTTTTACATGCAAGATTTTAAAAGTTTTCACATCATCTAAGTAGACTGTTTTGAAAATACTACCTTTGTATAGTTCTCTTATAGTCTTCTATATTTCTTCTACTGTTTTTCAAATCAAGCCAAGGTTGCTGTCACATTCATTGACATTTCTCCTCCACAGCAGCAATATTTTTTGTTAATCAGCGAGGAAAGCGAATTACTTTTACATCAACATTTAAAAGGGATATTTTCTTAAAACCTCCCAGGGAAAAAATTACCTTTTACTGAAAATTATACAAAATGTACATGCTTCCTAGGCCAATAGATCATTGCCATATGAGTATAACAAAGGTTATTTAGCAGTCATGGGTTTTCTCTGGGAATATTGCCTTCACAGAAGCAGTTCTCTAAGGAGATGAGCTTATTTTAAGCTGATATTCATTAGAAAGCTGCTAAGCCACTAGAGAAATTCTGGATACAAAGTAGGATATCTGACTTATATTTTCTTTTGCAAGTAATAAGGGATAATATCTGTAATCATGGTCAGAATCTTTGATTTATTGCCATGATAGGTTATATTGTGTCACATGATATTCTGAGCTTTTTATCTCTATTTCTTTAAAGGAGTAGTTTTAATGGATTTTAAGCACATGAGAACCTCAGACGTATAGCTTCAAGACCGATGTCTTCTTCCATTTATGACAATAATGTCTCCTTCTGGATATGGCCTGGATTTGCTATAGTTGCATGTCAAGGGCTTGAATTAACTCCTTTAAAGACGGACTTTATATTTTCATTGTCTTCAGCAGAAACAGGATGAAGGCTGCGTACCTCACCAAATTAAGAGGGGGTTAGGTATGATCTTTTGAAGGTACGAGGGAGTTACGTGTTTAATGTGTTATTGGGTCTTTTGATGAAATATGTATCTTCCTCAAGGTATAAACAGTTGAAGAAAAAACTGAGCATTGCACAGAAGAAAGAGACGACTGCATGTATTAAACAGTGAGACTCTTCATGCTAAATACTGGATAAAGACAATGATTTAATTGGATTGAATATTTGAGTTCAGAAAAGAAACAGAGAAAGAATCACGAAGATCTTTGTCAAAAGTAAAAAGAAATTATTCAAAAATTGGTAAATGGTTGTTTTAATAAAAAATAAAGAATCTAGAATGAAGAGTGCTTGCATATACACATTAATCTCATCTATGATAAAAGTGGTACAATCAAATCTGAAAGGAGACTTGGGAAATATATCTTTTCCACTCTATAAAAGAAAGCTTTTGGCTTATCACTTTTGACAGTGTGGATACAGTGGGAAAAGAGCAGAATGGTATCTGCAGGGACAACACAGTACAGTCAGGGATTGACTAAAAAGTAAATTCTGCTCTTTCTCCATTATGTTTTGGGTAGCAGGATTTCAGTGCCTGTTCCCTGACTCCATGGTACTTTCAGGCATGCAGAAAGGCTAGTAGTGGCAAAACAAAAGGAGGTGTTACATGGAAGCTAAATGCCAGAGCTCTGGAGATTTCCGCTGTATACACAGACTGGCAGCACTTCTGGATAGAAATAAAAAACAATAGTACCAAGCTATGATTGAATAAAGAAGCAGGGGAACACTGAGCCTTAGTGAGCATGTCTTTAATGATACACTTAAAAACTCCCTAATCTCTTTGTAACTAAATTAGACTGCAGCGCTGTAGGACCCGGTCTATGGTGCAGTAAAGTCAGTGGAAAAGCTTACTTAGGGAAGCATCTGTATGTAACAATACTCTTCAAGCAGTCACCAAGATAAGCAGATACTCCTACCATTCACTGAATCTGCAGAATTCATTGAATATTTTCAGCATTGATTATCAAGTCCAGATCTTTTTCATTGCTATTTACAACAAAGCGTAAAAGATGAATGATTCATTCTCATGACACACTTATTTTGGTCCACCTCCAGACTAGAAACTTCAGTGATTTCAATATGTTATTTAAGCACCTGTTCACTGAATGAGCCCTGAATGATGCAATACAAGGATACCATCAAGATGTATCTTAAAACACCATTTGCTTCCCCTTACGGTGTTCTCATTTCTTTATGAAATATTTAAGGAGTGCATGTTGTTCTGACAGCATATTAAAGCAACGTCCTTTTTGATGATGTAATAACTGTTAACAGCTTAACGCTCCCATAACCAGATAGTAATGGGAAGGGTATGTTGGATTCTACTAGTTTTGAAGTGATGTCAGCCAGAGATTTGTAGGATCGTAATTTTCCTTAGCTTTTTAAAATACCTACATCTGGCATACTTTATATTTTATTCTACTCTGCTTTGGATTGTAGTTTTGCTGTGACTTGCACTGCAAGATCTATGCTTTTTCACCTTGACTTGACCTTTGGCTTGATAACCTTGGACTAGTCTTCAAGAATTCAAGTTGCAAGCACAAGACCTGTTGTCATCCATCATTAAAATTTGAATCCCTTAAGTTCATCTTGACTAATACTGGGCAAAATCCTGCTTGCTGACCATCTGATTTGTTTCCATTGTTTGAACATGGAATGTTTTTATGCTTACCACATATTTTAAAGGTTGTCAATGATGTGTTGAGCCAACTTGCAACCTGATTCTGTAAAGTTTTAATGCTCAAGTCCCAATCTAGAATTGATGTGTTGTGTGGTTAAAATTGCTTAACTCGTTCATCCCTCAGAAATTCCACCATATTTAAAAAATCCATAATTATATCTGGTACTACAGAGAAGTGTGGAGCTTTGCTAACATGTGTGAAGCACTTTGAGGAACATGACATGGGAAACAGGCTCGGAAGGGGGTAATACACTACATATTGCCAGTGTTTTTTGTTTTGTTTTGACTTTGAAGGCTGAAGCTAAGTTTCACTTAGGCTTAAAAGATGCTGTATTTTGAAACATTCAAGCATTTCAGGTACTTACCAGACTGTTCAAATTCTGAGGAACCAGACGTGTAGTAAGGGATGGATTATTAATCATTCAGAGAAGCTTTTTTTTAGGAATGAAGCAACAGCTCTTCTAAGTTTCCTAGAAACCTGGAATCCTTTACAAAAATACACATAAAATTTTACCACATGTAAAAAGGAAGACCTCAGAAATGGCAGATGAGCTTTTGAAAGAGGCTAGTGTTTAAAACTCTCTCAAATTTAGCATGTTCTCCACTGGACAAGCTAGAAGTTTTGTCTTCTGGTGTAATAAAGAACTACCAGGTGGGATGGGAATCTTTCTGGCAAAGCTTATCGCTGAATGTGCAGATCTGTTTCTGCTCATATGTGACTCTTGCACTGTTGATATCAAAATATTCAAGGCATTGAACTCAACCCTTTTCATCTCCAGACATGGACAGTATATTTTTAAAGGAACTTAATGGTACAGGTAGTACCAAAGTTGCTGTAACACTTTGTGTTTCTGTGACTTAATGAACTCTAAAGCACTATATAAAATTCAAAAACACCTCTTAAAAAAAAAAGCCTGAAGTAAAGTGTATACACAGTTCAGGAATATTTCTAGTGTTAAAGCAATTATAAAAAGAAATAATTGATGTGTTGTGGTACCTGTGTGGATGTAAGGTTACAATTCAGTTAAAGTTTGTAAGGGGAACTAATATCTTTGACTGGATGAGCTGATATAATATGAAAATTTCTCAGAGTCCTTTACAGCTGCAAAGTGAGTGGGAAAGCTATGCAAATGTTGCATCATCATGTGACTTTGAGTATGTCTATGCTGCAGTGGCCTTGACTGTTTGAGAACTATGTCCTTGTCTGTCCTCTAGTGAATCTGCACCCGTCTCTTGTGACTAGTAGGTTGAATGAAATTGTCCTCAAAGTTGAGTTTTGCTGCTACAGACTTTGCAAGTGAACCTCCCCCCCCGCCTCTGCTAGAAGAAATGGGCAGTTGGCAAGATTTAGGGCCAATGTTGTCTAGAATTTCATATATCAAAAGATTCAACCCCACATCCTTAAAGTCTACCTGGGCACCAAACAGCTGTAAGGAGAAATTATCAGGCTGTAGGACTATATGCATGATGAGTGAATGACCTTGGTGGTAGGACCACTTTCCTTCAGATATACTTGCTGGGTCCACTGAAATCAGCAGGTGTTTAAATGATTTTACTAGGTGGTATATCTTACTGACTGCTCTTGAATAGTTTGAAAAATGTTAATGAATGCTTACAATGTTTTATGGTCGAACTAAGAGACTTCACAGAGCATGTACAGCCTTCGTTTAACTGAAATCTGCTCTGTTAGCGCTGAGAATTTTATATATCAGCTACAGGAATATCGTATGAGAAAAACATGGAAAAAAGGAATGCATTGATGAAGACGACCAAAAATGTTAATGTACTAAATTCTGTAAAACATGATCGAGAAAATCCAGTTCTAGCTTAACAGCTTGATTGCTGTTCTGATGGACAAATGAGGAGGAGCAGTTCTACAACCAAAGCAGGCAGACACTGCAGTTGTTTGTTTCAGCTTGTAGTAGCTAATTAAAGATCCTGTGGATCTTTTCCAGAAACAATGCAGTCAGATCCTGGCACCTGTAGTTAAACTGATTTCTTAATTTTTGACAATAGAAAATGAGGAAAAAAAAAAATATTTCTGCTTAGGGAAAAAGACCCCCAAAACAAAACAAGGAAAGTTTAGTATCCCTTAATTTCTAGAAATGGGATAACTTCACTAATATCCTAGAGGACAAGGAATATAGGTTTTTATATATTGACTGGGTGGTAGCAAAACAACTCTGTTGCTTGTCTTTTCAGACTGAAGGCCAAGTGTGTTGAGGTCTTTCAGCTGGCAGGTGCATGTTTTCCCTAAATAGTATAGCTGACAAATACACCTCTGTTTCTGCTGACTGTTATGAGTTCATTGTGATGTCCTGTTTAGTTCAAGCTCAGTTAACAAGATACAAACACAGCAGGTGTAAGAGAAGGTTGGTGAGGAGATGCAGAAGTGCAGAAGTACAGAAGTAAGAACCAGATGTCAAACAGGTCGTCCATGGGATGGTTCTTTATTGTTTGATGCATTTCTATGGGTTACGTGGTAGGCTCCAATTCTGTAGAATTTAGGCTTTTATTTAAAGGGGAAAAACTTGGAATATTTCTGTTCTAGCCAAAAGGACAGAAACTTTAATTGTTAGCAAGTGTAGCCATTACTCTTGCTGAGTGAATACACCAGCTAAAACAATGCCTCAAAACACAAAAATCTCTCCATCCCAATTCACCAAACAGTGACGTCTGAAGTCAGAGGAAGCATGAATTATGAGGAACCACTAGTTACTATGGCACCTCTGCATACAGCAGGGGCAAATGGAGTGGAAAAAGGCCAGGAATGAGGATTAGAGACAGAAAATACCTTTGGAGAATAACTGAATACCAAAAAGTTACAAAGAACAACATATCTCATATCTGAATGGACAGAGTGCTAAATAACAGCTAAACTTGTAGCTGGGTACAGGATGACTGGCAGTGCTCACCACAGATCCCTGTGTTCCTTAGTGTTCATGACCCTACAGGGCCCAGCATGCAGTTGCTCGTCATGTCTGTCATTTCTCTTCCTTACATCAGGTAATCATGTGCTATGTTATCATCTCTTGGCAGGTAAAAGTTGAACCCTCAATAATCATATAAGGAGAGGTAGGAGCATGCAGTCAAGTGAAGAAATAAACTTTCTGTGTGCCCTTGTGCTTTCTCTTTTCTTTCTGTCCCCATAGAAATTGGCAGGGATGGTTAACTTTTCCTCCCTGAAACTCCTTTCTATATTTATGGACATGCAGACCAGCACAGAAGCTACCACTAACGTGTGGAAAATTCAGGGCTTGTTAAACAGCTTGAGTGAGCTATGATCAGCAATAATCTGGTAGCTGAGTGTTCTCAGGGGGAGCCAGCTGGGCCAGTCACAGTGTACTGTGCTCAAAGATGAGTGCAAATCTTTTAGCAGGCATGTAACATTATCTACACAATTGTTACAAATGAAGATCTGTCTTTCTAAAATTCCTTTGCCTTAGGTTACGGTTTCACAGAATCATAGAATAGTTTGAGTTGGAAGACACCTTTTAAAGGTCATCTAGTCCAAACTCCCTTGCAATGAACAAGGACATCAACTAGATCAGGTTGCTCAGAGCCTCATCCAACCTGATCTTAAATGTTTCCAGGAATGGGGCATCCACCACCTCTCTGGGCAACCTCTTCCAGTGTTTTACCTCTCTCATTATAAAAAACTTCTTTTTTATATTTTATTCAAATCGACCCTCCTTCAGTTTAAAACCTGTATCCCTTTTCCTATTGTAGCAGGCCCTGTTAAAAAGTTTGTCCCTCTTTTTCTTATAGGCCCCTTTCAAATACCGGAAGGCTGCAATAGGGTCTTCCCAGAGCCTTCTCTTCTCCAGACTGAACAATCCCAATTCTTTCAGCCTTCAGAGAGAGAGTTTTGCCCATCTTAAAGGAGAACCAAGAGCAGAAAAGCAAACTCAGCTACCAAGTTGATGCAAATGACCGTATGTGCCTGCTAAAGTAAATCAGAACTGAGCTGAGTCTGAGCTGGCCTGTATGGGGGGGGGGGGGACAGAAGCTGGATGTCAGGTACAAGGGAGTAAGGGAGGAAATGGATGCAAACAGGGTGGCATGTGGCATATGGTTCCTTTTGCTTTCAGGCTAGTAAAAGTTTCTTAGTGGATATGAAGTCCTGTGTCTGGTCGTGTAAAGCCCATTAGCATATGTCTCTGCAGTGGGTTTCTGTGGCAGAGTTCCAGTAATTACTGTTCATTAGTATTCATTAGTACCAGGTCTTGCCTGATCTTGAGTTCATGTTGAATCAGCACTGCTGTAACATTTTTGATATGGGCTGGATGTAGAGGTCAGCATGGAGGCATTAATTAGGCCTGGTAGTCAGAAGTTATTTTCATGGCTCTTCGGATAGGGTTTGCTTCAGATGCACCACGGCTTTTCCTTCTGAAGTGGAAAGCATACATGTAAAGTGGAGCAGCGGTGAGCCACACTTGTGAATATAAAAACATGAATTTAAAGATAAAGCCCTAAACTTGCTCTCTAGAGTGACCTGTTAAAAAATCTGCAGGGTTTCCAGTGACTTTTCTTTACTGTTGTTGCCACTTAGGAATGTTGACACTGAAAAGAATGTAGAAGTGCAAAATATGGGTGATGGATGATAATGTGATTTGTGTTTCTGAATGTTCATTCCTCCTTTGATCAGCTACTGCTGATAATAATGTAACCAGGAGCTTTTAGGGTATACCCTCTGACCTCTGTGAAAAGAAAATCATTGAACAACAAACCTACTTGTCTCTTATTAAAAACAAAAAGGAGAAAAAAGTCATGTTAGAATAGTTACTACATTACACAGACAAGTTCAAGGTCCTCTTGGAACCCAGAGGTACTTTTGAGAGGCTACAAGAACTTTTCTGTGAGGAAGGGTTGAGAAAATCTGAACATAGTTTGGTATTTATTTTCTTGGACAGCTAAAGAAAGTGAAATTATTCCAATTTCTAATTTTTTAAGTGAAAAGTGTACTTTCTCTAGATATCTTAAACTGTATGTTTATCTAAAAGCACATCTCTATGTACCTTTTCTGTACTTCAACAGTCTGGGAAATCATGATTCTCAACACTCACATTCTTAATTTTAGTAATAACCAGTCTCAGTAGAATGTTACTCACCTAAGAAAGAGGAGGTATACAAAGATTCATCCACTGAACCACACAGCTAAAGTAATTTCTTTGTCATAACCAATGCCTCCTTTAGCTGAATTTAAACCTGCAATGCAGAAATACAATTGGTGAGATCGCAGTCATTTAAATTTCAGTGACACAGAACATTGCTATTACTTAGGGATTACCCCAAAGAAATATGGCTGAAGAATGGCAGAAAAAACTTTTTTCAGATTTTTTTTGTCTTCAATAATGAATAAAATATTTAAGAGGGAACAGGCAAATTTCTCCTAGTAAAGGAGATGCAGAAGTTGGGAATGCTTTTCTCATAAGCCTTTTCTTTCTACATAACAACACTAATAGAGTTGTAGATCTAGTTACACTTCAAAGTAAAAAGCACAAGGTCCTCTCCTGCTTGAAATAATCAAAAGATTCCAGATGATGACAAGAAGACTAGACAGCCTCTAACACTTCCTGGCTTCCTTTAACTCAGGTTCTTTTTGGCATTCCTCTACTCTTTTTCCATTTTATGGATCTTGGGTAAACTATTCAAAAGTGTGCAGTGAGGTTTTCTTGACACAGAGTGTAGTTAGACTGTGGAACTCCTGATGTGGATGCTTAAATTTGAATAGTGACACAGTGAATGGACATATTCATGGAAGAAATGTCAGTTGATGTCTATTAAATACAGACACAATCTTTGGCTTAGGAGGTTGTTCAATGACAAATTACTGGGGGTTGTGAGCAGTTTAGTGGGAGTATCATTACTTGGCTTGTTTCTGTACTCTTTGGCTGGTCACAGATGGAGAGAGGATACTGGACAAATGGACCTCTGATCTGACCCAGCATGGTGGGCAGACTTATGTTCTTGAAATTGGTCTCCACAGAGATATCATGTTGAGATCTTGATGGCCAAGCATTTCTGTATCATTTTCAAATTCAAAGAGGATGAAACAGATGCTATTACACAGAAGGGCCTTTGTTTTAAATAAAAACAAGACAAAAGATATAATTAAGAATGTGCAAAAGTAACACCTCATGCAATAAAGTTACCTCTGTCAGTAGTATGGACTACAGGGAAAGTCACTCCCTGTACCTGAAGCCTTTTGAAATGTTGCATGATGTAATGTCATAAATACCAGAAATAAAGGTGAATGATTTTATAGCTTCAAGAGGTCCAAATACCTCCATGAACCTAAGCAGACCATAGGTGTGTTTGGTGAAGGAGCTGGAGAGATTTGCAACCAGCACTGAAGAGGGGAACGAAAAAACTAGTATCACATCCTGTTCAGGCTGGTTCCCCAGCCTAAAAATCTGGCACCCGCTGGGGTGACCTTTGGCACCAGCTGGTTTATAGCTCAGGCTCACACATCTGTCTCCAGAGCTGAACACCTCTTGGGCCTCACCTTGCCCTCCACCAGAAAGCGCACACACTCTGGATCCCAGCTGAACTGGATACTTTTCACTTCCAGATGATTTAAAAGGAGACACAGTCCTCTTTTAAGGCTTCTATGGGTGAGATTCTTTCACAGTTATGCTAGTGCTCTTTGCAGATTAATGATGTAAACTTGTTTGAGATGCAGAATGGAATACATAGATGAATGATCTCCCAACACAGTATGATTCACAGGTACCTTTACTTAAGTGTCATATGCAAACTGGCCTCAAAATAGATATGCTTTGAACCAGAACATTTACAGTCAAGAAAGCCTGAACTGCACAGGCAATTTTGTAGGATGTTTTGCTAGAAATTATCTGATTATGAGGCAATATGGCTGTTGCAAATGCAATCCTTTCCTCCCACAGGAAAAGTAAAATACAGACTCCACTAAATATGAAGCAGCAAGCTTTTCTGCCAATAAAAAATTAAAATTCTCTTTATCTAAAGGTAAGGAACAAATTAAGTTCAGTGATGGTACATTCCACACAGAGGGCTTCTTTTCTTTCTTGTCATGCTTAGTGTCTTGTTTTAGGATCCCTCTGATGTGGTACTCCTGCTGCAAGAGAATTGTTTCTAGTTCAGGGAAAGAATGATGAGTCTTTAATAAACAAACCTGAGAACTAATACAAATCCATGTTGACAAATGCTTGTCAAGAAGAAAACCAAAGAAACAAAATCAATACATGGTCTTGCATTAAATCACATTGTTTGCAGATAGATATCTTGGAAGTCTTCTTTTTATTTTTTTTATTTGTTTACTAAATAGCTGCCCCTGATTAATTTAGGATAAACCAGAGTTTGGCTTTATAAAAACAGAACTTTTTTAAAAAAAGTTTACAGCCAACCTTTTCAAATATTCTGTCGTTTTTAAGGAAAAAAACATTCCTCCCAGCCTTCCTTATTCTGACACCATTTTACTTTAGAAGATCTCAAAGTACAAGTGAATACATGACACTTGCAGTGTCTCCAGTGTACACATTTTACGTTTGATTTATGACATTACTATATAGGTGCACTTGACAGCTTTCAGATTGAAGCAGAGACAAGAGAGCTTTAAAGTGAGATGGGTTATCTGGGTAAATCTATCAAGGGTTCGTCCTGGGAGAACAAGGAGAGAGGCTTTGTAGAGCCCTGCTGTGTAGCAAGCCTCCATGCTGAGCACATCCCAAGCTCCCTGACAGTTGCGCTCAGCCTTCACTGTAATAACGAATAAAAGGGAGCTCCCTGTAGATTACAGATCTTCCGTGTTTTGACATTGACCTTAATACATAATTTAACCACAAAGCCTGAGAAGTGTGGAACAAGATAAGAAAAGACCACAGAACTGGCAAATAAAGTGATGTTCAATCAGAAATCATATTTGTTCCTGATAGTGGAGATGTGGGCATTAAAAGGGGAGACAGAGAGAGACTGAGAGAGAGAGAGAGAGGGGAAGAGAGAGGGAAGAACAGTCTGGGTTATTTGAAGACTTATGGATCTCTTTTAAAGGACATATGGTTGTCAAATAAAAGTTTGTCCTGGATTTGCAGTAAGAAATAAAAAAAAGTCAATGGTTATTAAATTTTCATAGACACTGGATTGCTGCTTTTCTCAAAATACTGTAATGGCATTTTCCATGTTTGCCTCATGTTTGTGCTTTTGCTTTTAACTCAATGGACTGTGGAGGGGGTGGTACACAGAATTACCATAAAGCTGTCCTTAGGCGTATATTTAGCCTAATCATGTTTAATATCTGCCTATTCTAGACCTTAGCTTGAGTTTCTACATTAAAAGAAACAATTGTTTGGATGCTGAGAGTTTGTAGGTTTTACTTCTTATTTACAGAGAACACTCAATGCACAAGTGAAATGCACAGTGGGATGGGCTGCTTGCATGGCAATGACATATTTTTACTTTAGCAGAAGAGGCTCATGCAAAGGAACAGGATTTTTAGCATTAAAGGGTGTGACAGTGGATACTGTTAAAATTAAGCACAAATCTTATGGGAAAATTATCAGGGATAAAATTATGTATAAAATAAAAAAATGCTTTCAAATCTCATGAAGGAGGCAAAAAGTTGCAAAAAAGTGACTTTCCATCATTTGTATTGATTTTGTTTTTTTTCATCCCTATTGGATAACATGTATGACCAGCTAATCTCACATTTTTGCATCCAAGTCTTTCTATATGGCTCATGACTCTCTTCCTGTTCTTATGCTACAACATCTGGATGGTCACGGCTTCAAGAAAATTCCTACTAATCGTTGATATTTTAAATACAAACTATTTGAAAAATATTTATATATAATGAAATTTAAATTTAAATTTGAGTTTGATCCTGGTGGTAAAATTTAAACTTGATGTCTTCTTTTGGATGGGGTTTCCGGACACCTCCTTTATCCCCAAACCCTTCAATTCCATCTTGGAAATACGTACAGGTGCCTAAGTAGCTTGAGTGGGTTTGTATGATGTACACAAGAATGAGATTCCTTAGTGTTCGACCATAGGTACATATTTGGGCTGGTTTGAGTACAAATATTTTGACTCTTAAAATAAAGTCAAACCATGAGAATAAAGAATTAAACATGAAAGAGAATACACTCTTTCATGTGTAAAGCTGGAATTATTTCTTTCATTTCCAAAAGCAAACAAGTGAGCAAACCACTCTAAGGGAATTAGAGTCCATCAGTATTTTCATTTGGGATCCTTGTTGCGTGCATACTTTGAAACAGTATGTTGAAGCATGTTTGGGGTTTTTTTAAATACATGTATATATATTTAAAATAAGGTATCAGAACTATGATTTTTCAAAGCAGTCTGAAACTGACTGAAACCAGAAAAACCTCAAGTTCAGAAAAACCTCAGGTTCAGAATAAGGTTTTAACACAATACAATGGTCCTAACATTATCTCCCTCTCATCACAGCTCTCCACTCACGCTGTAACCCCTTTGACATGCTCACTTTTGTATGAAAAATACAACCCACCTTGCTGCACACTTCAAATGGCTGAATACAATACTCAGCCCTCTCTCGGCTGCTGCATTATTGAGGAACATGGTGACAGTTAAAGTCCCACAGCTACGTGGCAAGTCCTTCTCCAGGATAAACTGGCCTAATTTAGTACTAAGTGAACTTCAGAGTGCTTACACTGGGCTTCTTGGGACTACAGTTAACTACCTTCATGAGGAAGAAATAAATGGAAAAAAACCTCCACAACTCCAACCCAAACATCTCAACTATTTCTGGTCCACCTATGGCAACTTTCCATCACTGTGCTAACACCAGATATGAGGTAAAACTCTGTATCCATATGGAGCAAAGTGAGCAAAGCAGAAAGAACTCCAAGGAATAACTCACGGAGATGATGTCAATGAGGTGTTTTCTTACCTAGGAGAGATGACAAAACTATTTTATCCTATTAAAAATTGTTCTACATAAAGCCTGGGAGGAAGTCTGGCAAGGCAGTTTCAGAGAAAAGGAGAGACAAACTATTAGGTTTGTTCAGGTTACTTGCAGTATATTAAATACTTGACCATTTGTTTGGCTCCGAATGTGCTATCTTGTCTTTCAAACCTGCTGTTACACAGATTCATAATTTTTCATGGTCATTTTTGTTTGATTTATA